CCTCGTGAGTTCCTATTGCTGCTGTAATGAAATACTACAAAGTTACTGGTATAAAAACCACATAAATTTCTCATTTTCCAGGTCTGAAGGTCAGAAATTCAAAATACATTTCATTAAGCTAAAATCAAAGGATCAGCAGGACTGAGTCTTGAAGCTACAGAGGAGAATCCAACTTCCACATGCCACCTGCATTTCTGAGCTTGTGGTCCTTTTTGTTACCTTTAAAAGCAGCAGCCACAAGGGCCAGCAGGTGGTGTGGAGGTTAAGGCACTGGACTCCCACATGACTGGCCATGGTTTGAGTCCCAGACCTTGTGGCTTGCTTTCTCAGTGTCCTCTCTCTCACTCTTTCTCTCTAGCTCTGGTGAGCACACATGCCCTATACCCAGTTAATAATAATAATAATAATAATAATAATAATAATAATAGAGTATTAAAAAAACAATGAACAGCTACACAGATAATTCAAATCTCTCTAATTGACTCTCAAACTCCTATCTGCCTCTTTCACCTACAAGGACTCTACTAATTACATTGGGTCTACCCAGACCATTAATCCAGGTTAATCCCTCATCTCAAGGTATTTAACTTCAATACATTTGCAGAGTCCCTTTTGCCATGTAAGATAACAGATTCACAACATTCAAGGAATAAGAAGTGGACACCTTTGAGTGGCCTTTATTTTGCCTATCACAAGGTCTAAGTTAAAGCATCAGAAACAACTTTAAATTAACTTGCCTTTGACTTAATTCTCATCCTCAGCTTAACCTTTGGGTCATATAATGTATGGGAAATTGATGCATTAACTGGAAAGTGAAAATAACATTTTTAATAGAGAATTTTTACACTCACTTTTTTGTTGTTGAAAGGCCTTTAAGTTAAATGTTAAAATTCTTATTATAAATTTTCATTTAATGTTAGTTGGGTAGCAATAACAATAAGCTGATAGCTTTCTGCCAGGAGCAATATTTTGATGAGCCTGTTTTTGATTGAAACTGTATTTTTTTTATTAAAAAGTCAGTCTTGGCAGCATCTTACACTATTATTTATGTGCTTCACTGGATTTTTTAATATAAAATGTTCTATTAAAGTGACTTCAAAGCTAGCTAAGAATTTTTTCCTTGTATACATCTGTAATATACACATTTTTAGCCTCACAACCTAAACATGTATTTGAATTTCCCAAACTGTTTAATCTGTAGAGTTTGTTCTTGGTGATATTGAAGTGATAATGAGCAAAACTGCTGTGAGGATTAAATGAGATAATGTATGTAAAACCATAGCACAGTTGCTGGGCCATAAGTAGATCTTCAATAAATTTTAGGCTAATTCAGAATATATTTGGATAGTTGAGATTTGCTCGCTAATCCTGAAACGTGTTTCTGTGAATACTGAAAATGGATAATGATGTGAAAGTTGTTTATCAGTAAACTTAAAAAGTTTTGAATATTTTGTTACTCTACTCGATAAAATAGTTTTTTAACTTGAGTACACAATTTGAATAACTTTATTTGCGTGCATGTGCAAAATCTGGAGAGGAGACTGGAGGAGAAGGGATTATGGCATGGCCATTCCTCTAGAGGGGGTGATTTCTCACTTTCCTTCTCTGGGCCCGGGCCCATCTCTCTCAATTGAGCATGTATATACCCAATGGCAAAAACCTAAAAAAAAAAAGCCTCTTTCCATTATTCTGGACTAACAGGTCAGGTTTTCCTATGGATATACAAAATGAAAATATTAAGTTTTGTTTTGCTTTGTTTTTTTTTATTCTAATAGCCTAAATGGTGTTAGTAAATCATGAGGAAAATTCTGTTACTTTTATTATATTCAATATAGCATATTCAAAATGAAAATTAAGCTATTCAGGATACCAACTGAAAGCAAATCTAGGAAACAGTACCTTAAGAAGTCACAAAAGAAATTTTTCAGTGGTTTTAAATTAACTTCAAGTTAATTTCAAATTTCTTCCTGTAAACCCATGTTCCTGTCTCTTTAACTTCTTTTGATTAAATAATGGTCCTCTGCTTTCCCTGTCTATTTTCTTTTTATGAACTTGTCAAATCATCTCCGTCTTGTCTTGTGTAATTGAAGAGACTTTTATGTAGTTTTCTGAGAGACTATCACACAAATCCAACCGGAGAATAATTTACAAGGTTCAACTGAAGGGTCATTATTAATGCTGGCTTGCCTGCCATGAAAACATAGGCTTTCTCTTTCATGCATGGCAGGATTTTAACTAGATCAACAGAGACAGAATCCTTTAAATGAAGTATTATGAATGATGTCACTGGTTACATAAGCTTATTTTAATTTACATTTTTTAAAAATCCGAATTGTTTAATGGGATTAGAGAACTATAATAAAACATGTCTGGGTCTGGGCTTATCTGTAAGTTTCATAAAGGGTATTTCTGTGGCCGAAAACATGATTTCGGGAGTGAGAAATTTATATGTAAAAAAAAAAAAAAAAAAAAGCCTCTTTCCATTATTCTGGACTAACAGGTCAGGTTTTCCTATGGATATACAAAATGAAAATATTAAGTTTTGTTTTGCTTTGTTTTTTTTTATTCTAATAGCCTAAATGGTGTTAGTAAATCATGAGGAAAATTCTGTTACTTTTATTATATTCAATATAGCATATTCAAAATGAAAATTAAGCTATTCAGGATACCAACTGAAAGCAAATCTAGGAAACAGTACCTTAAGAAGTCACAAAAGAAATTTTTCAGTGGTTTTAAATTAACTTCAAGTTAATTTCAAATTTCTTCCTGTAAACCCATGTTCCTGTCTCTTTAACTTCTTTTGATTAAATAATGGTCCTCTGCTTTCCCTGTCTATTTTCTTTTTATGAACTTGTCAAATCATCTCCGTCTTGTCTTGTGTAATTGAAGAGACTTTTATGTAGTTTTCTGAGAGACTATCACACAAATCCAACCGGAGAATAATTTACAAGGTTCAACTGAAGGGTCATTATTAATGCTGGCTTGCCTGCCATGAAAACATAGGCTTTCTCTTTCATGCATGGCAGGATTTTAACTAGATCAACAGAGACAGAATCCTTTAAATGAAGTATTATGAATGATGTCACTGGTTACATAAGCTTATTTTAATTTACATTTTTTAAAAATCCGAATTGTTTAATGGGATTAGAGAACTATAATAAAACATGTCTGGGTCTGGGCTTATCTGTAAGTTTCATAAAGGGTATTTCTGTGGCCGAAAACATGATTTCGGGAGTGAGAAATTTATATGTTGTCAACCCGTAGTATCTAGCATGAATGCGCTCTATCAATTGTATGCACATTGAGTATTCTCCACTATGTAGCTAAATGTAGAGGAAAAGCAAAGAGAGGAGGCTTTCTCAGTTTTGAGAAGTTCATTTTTAAGTAGTTTTATTTTATCAAAGTACTCCTGACTTCTGTTCAATAATTATTGCTTCTAATGAGTGTTACAAAAAACACTCCTTCATATCATTTCAGTGCCCAATGTCTTTTTTATTACAACAGGCAAATCTAATTACTTCTTCTGATTAATCTCAAGAGCCGTGATTTATATCATGAATAATTCCTTTCCAGTTTGTGAAATTCTAAATCTATGGGACTTCATTTTTTATAAACATACTATAGTAAATGCTAAATATTTTAACTGTGAGCAGATGGACAACCATAATGAAAACTAAGTGTTTATTACATATATTTATTTTTATAAGCTTTACTGTTTTAAACCGAGCCTGTGATTCTGAAGCCTCTCCTCTTATCCAAATACCATCTCTTTCTCCTCTGAACTCCTTTGGTATTTTTTACTGGAAAGGGCCTCTGATGCAGTCTTCCTGCTTCGGCCTCCTGCATAACTGAGATCACAGGTATATGCCACCATGCCTGGCTTTTTAGGGTGGGCCAGGGATGGAACCCAAGTTTCACTGTGTCCTCTGTCTGCTGAGCAGCTGTATCCAGAGCACAGTGCCATGACTGAACCTTCATTTTTCTTTCTATAAGTTGCTTTGTGTGTATTTATGTCCCCTTACGTACCCCGAGCTGTCTGCTTTACCCACAATATTTAGCCTTCTGCCTGAAATATAAGAAATAATAGCTGGCATTGAGTCTTGCTAAGTACCAGATGCCATTCTAAGCTTTTTAGTAGATTAACTCCATTAATCTTCAAATTAAATAAAATGGGTAACCCTATAATTTATAGAGAAAGAAACAGAAACACAAGAACTGTTAAGCAGGCTGGCCAGAGTCACAGCCAGAAAATGGTCATGCTGAATACAACGTAGCCCGATTACAGATCACTTGAACATAAGCACTACCTTGTACTGCATACCCTGAGTGAGTGTATCTTCCCATGACTGAACTTCAGAGCACCAAGTACTTCTTCCCAACCCCTACTACCATTATTATTTCTCACTTACATTTCTGTTCATGTGATTCAGGTCTGCCTCTCCCGCTATGCCAGACATATTAATACAACACCTAGTATTCGATAGATGAGTAATAATAGTTAATATTTATTGAGCTTTTGCTCCAAGTTAAGCACTGCTTCTTATCATTTTATCCTTTCAAAGATTCTATGCGGTACCTATCAATGTATCTACAATTTAGACACTGAGAGAACTGAGACAGAGAGAGGTTGGATAACTCGCCCAAGATCACACAGCTAGTAAATGACGGAGCCATGATTTAAACTCAAAAGCCAAATTCCAGAGCTACACTCCAAATGAATAAAGATATGGATTAATGGAAATCGAGCTTGGAAAAAGTCAGGAAAAGTAAGAAGGAGGAGATGACAGTTGCCATATTTGAAAGGGCAATGTGGAAAAGAGAGAAACAATATTCTAGGCAGGGAGAGCATCCTGGATAAAGTACTGCAGAACGATCTGCCTGGAGCACAAAGGTGCTTAATAAATAAACATGAAGGAATGGATCTCTGTAGCTCATGGGTTAAGGTTTTGCACATCTAAATGTCCTATTACTAATGCTCTCTGTGCATTTTTTTCTTCCAGTGCCACCGTGGGCCTTAATTGCCATAGCCATAGTTGCAGTCCTATTAGTCCTGACCTGCTGCTTTTGTATCTGTAAGAAATGTTTGTTCAAAAAGAAAAACAAGAAGAAGGGAAAGGAAAAGGGAGGAAAGAATGCCATTAACATGAAAGATGTAAAAGACTTAGGGAAGACCATGAAAGACCAGGTAATGTATTGATTTCATATTTCTTCTTGGATTATCTTATTGAAAATTAACAAGTGGTTTATTATTTTATCCCAGACAATTATAGAAATAAACAACATCTGGACACATACTAGCGTGCAGATGCTTTGCAATCGTTTCAATCACTACTCAAGATCCCAAAGTGTAGTGGAGACTTCTGACAGGGTTTTCCAGTTTCCTATACAAATAAATCAGAACAGGCCTGACGATTTTGATTATATCTATTTAGCCAGTCTTATCTATGTTGAGTGTTAGAGAAAAAGAATAAAAGCACCGGAGTAGTTTTCTCTTGGACAGGGAATCTTTCTAACTTTTTTCATTGTTCATCATTACTGCTAAATAACTGAGTTTTATAGTAGTTCATCGTACTCAAGATCCCAAAGTGTAGTGGAGACTTCTGACAGGGTTTTCCAGTTTCCTATACAAATAAATCAGAACAGGCCTGACGATTTTGATTATATCTATTTAGCCAGTCTTATCTATGTTGAGTGTTAGAGAAAAAGAATAAAAGCACCGGAGTAGTTTTCTCTTGGACAGGGAATCTTTCTAACTTTTTCATTGTTCATCATTACTGCTAAATAACTGAGTTTTATAGTAGTTCATCGAACTTAATGAAAGCTACCATGCCTACATGTCCATTAAGCTCAATACTTAGTTCTGAAGAATAATGAGTTATATTCAGGGAAGAGAAAGAAATAGGAGTCAGTCCTAATGAAAGGCAGAGAATGTGAAGGCAAAGTTCTTTTTTAACTCAGGACAGTGAAAATCCCCACCATCCATCTAGCTGGACGGATTCAAGCATAAGGAGCTATTCAGACGTCCTTTATGTTGCTATCGACTTTCACCTACATAACCTGGATGATTTAGTTCAAGATAAAGTACTATTAATAATAGTTATTAAATGCTCTCTCATTTTTTGGACTAATAATTATATTGATTTTTTTAGTTATTTAAATGTTTAAAAATTTTTTCTGGGGAACCGGCAGTTAGCAATGGTTATGTCGCTGGACTCCCACGTAGTCAACCGCAGTTCCTGTCCCGGACCTGGTGGCTTAAAACATGCTGGGCGCATGTGCATGCGTGCCCAGGATCCCAAGAGGAGAATGGAGGAGAGGGGATTGCGGCGTGACCATCCCCCCTGGGGGGTGATTTCTCGCTTTCTGTCTCTATGTCTCTTTCTGTCTGTCTGGCGAGCACACGCACCCTATAGCGAAAAACCTCTCAAAAAAAAAATTTATTTTTTCTGATTTCTTTACATTCAATCATTGTATATCTTTACAACATGGAAAATGAATTTTCCCAGTAGGAGTACAGTGCACGTTAGTCCAGTCAAAAATATTAGCAAACACATGGTCATCAACAGAAATTTCTCACTTCTCATTTTTATGTCTGTGGAATGTTTTCCTTTTTTTTTTTTAACCTGATTCCCTCCTCCCCACCACCACCTAATTCCCACCCTCCTCCCACACTATCTTTTTAAAAGAACATTTCATTGATATAAAACTGTAGAGATTTTCTCATAAAATAACATTTTCAACTACCAATGCTTCCTGTCAGATAATTCAAAAGTTCTATTTATTCACAGATAGGAACATATACAGGCAGTTTGATCAATTTCTCTTACACTATTAATTTCTGTTAATTGAACTCTTAATTAAGAACAATTTAAATCAAGTGTTATAACGTGCATTTTAAGTACATTTGCATAGTTTCCTAATTAACGACAAACTCAGGACACGAAACACACTTCCCAGCTTGAGTTTTAAACTTTTTTCAAAAACACTGTATTATCTATTGACAATAATTTAACAAAGACTCATTTTTCATTCTCTGAAGTTTTGTGTCTGGAGCTATGAGATGGATGTAATGCCTGTACTTGAGTTCAGAGAGGCTTGGTCTGAGCTCAGAGTAGCAAGAGTTCAATTTTTCTGATGTTTCTAATCACAGTCATGAACTCTGATGCACAAATGATCAACTACAGATGTCTAGTAAAGATTTTTTTCTTCAGTTAATTTCATAAGTAAAAATTGAAATTTTAAATCATATCTTGCTTTATTTCAACATTTTCTATAGAAAGCAGCACTTCATATAGATTTTATTTAAACAACTTATGGAGAGATCAGATATGCAAATAACTTCCTGAATAGACATAAACTAACATGCTTGTTCATTTTTAGCTATACCTGTGAAAATAATCATTTGAAAATGCAAGATTATCATTTCACAATTACCGTAAAATTTAAATGTGGTTTCTCTGTGTCCTCAAATTAATGATTAAAAGTACTGAATAATGTTAAGTGATAACTACAGTATTTCTTTCTAGGATAAGAATCTATATTTCTATTTGTGGAATTTGTTCTGTATAATGTAAGATTGTAATTTATAGCATAGTAGTGGTGTTTATTACCCTTGTTATGACCTGGATAAATGACCAAGATCTCAAATATGGTAAATAGTTGTGGTTAATCTTTCATTGATCATCTCTTCCTTTGGATGGGAGAAAGAAAAAAAAATGAGTCAACTAAGAAATCAGTGATAGTTTATAATAATGTAAGGTTATTGCAAAGTAGTTAGGATTTTGACCACTCAAAAAGGTGTTTCTAATCATTTTAAGAATATCAGGACCAGCAGTATGCATAATGGCTGTGTCGCTGGACTCCCATGTAGTTGACCGTGGTTTGAGAACCGGACCCAGTGGCTTAAACTCATGCCAGGCACATGTGCGTGCGTGCCCAAGATCCCGAGAGTAGAATGGAGGAGAAGGGATTGCAGCATGGCCATCCCCCCTGGGGGGTGATTTCTTGCTTTCTGTCTCTCTATCTCTCTCGTTCTGGCAAGCGCACGTGCCCTATAGCAAAAACCTCTCCAAAAGAAAAAAGAAAAAGAATATCATTGTGTCTATCTAGGACTTTATAGCCAAGTCTTGTTTTTAACTTAAGAATAATTAAAAATGAAATATAATTTGGACAAGTGAAAATAGGCCCCAGTGATAAATATTTATAGGATAGTAGCTTATGCTACTTTTCAAAGTAGACAAAAAGTAGCTAATGTTGAGTTCTATAGTTTTATAGAAGAAGACCAAAGGAGTAAAGTAGAATTTGCAGATTTTAAGAGGATATTATGTCACATGGTGACCATCAGATCATCCCAAGTGAAAACAGCATAAACACAAAGTTATTGAGGCCAGCAGGTGACATAATGGCTAGGTACCAGAGTCCCACATGGTCAACCATCGTTCAAATCCTGGACCAGGTAACTTGAAAATAATGCTGGGTATGCATGCATGCATGCATGCTCAAAATCCCAGGAGGAGAATGGAGGAGAAGGGGTAGCAGCATGGTCATTCCCCCTAGGGGCGTGATTTCTCACTTTCCCTCTCATTGTCTCTGTCTCTCTCCTGTGAGCACATATGACCTGTGGCAAAAACCTTTTCTTTTTTTTAAAAAAAAATGCTATATAATAATTCTATTTCTAAAATATTTTAAGCAGAATATTGAAGAGAACATGAGGATGCCAATAAAGATAGTTTAGGGCTCTCTCATATAAATACAGGACAGTTGTGAGAGGCATTTTAGATATGATTTCTTAAGATAAATATGCTCTAAGACCATCAATATGTTTTTACCATGTCAATCTATATAGAAAGCTTTTAACTAAAGAAGAATTTTGAAACATGCAGGGGGAAAATATCAAGTTGTAAAGTCTAGGCATGGAAAGGTCATTTCTCCATGGTTTTCAATAATGTGTGTGGATATTTTAATTTTTATTTTTTTCCTTTTATGTCCTCCTTATCTGTGTTGTGTCTCATGACTGTTCTGGACTGTCCCTTGCGGTAGGTTTCCTCTGCTACTTAGACATCCCTAGTCAACGCTCAGATATATGTAGTGGCCTGGCAGTGGGGGCTTCACAGCAGAGTGTATACCATTCTGACACACATCAAGAGGCTGAACTAAATTGATTTTTTGGAAGATAAAGTGTTCTCATTTTGAACATCACTAACAGAGGTTAAGTATAACAGTATTAGAAAGCTCAAGTTTTAAACTGATAGATACAGAAAGGAAATTCGGTCCCTTGTGCTACTTTTTAGTTACCTTATCAAATCCAGATCTGAGCAATATAACTTAGAATGAACAAATCCTCCCAATGCATCTGAACTAAGCACTTCCAAATGTCACAGCAAACCATAAGCATGTACACTAAATCTTCGCAATTTGAAATAAGGTTTGATGGGGGCTGGCAGGTGGCGTGGTGGGTAAGGGCGCTGGACTCCCACATGGCTGACCACGGTTCGAGTCCCGAACCTGGTGGCTTGCTTTCTTTCTCATTTCCTCTCTCTCTCTCTCTCTCTCTCTCTCTCAAAATGTTTCTCTCTAGTCAAATTAAAATAAAGTTAAATAAAAATAATTATTTTTTAAATAATAATAAGGTCTGATGTTCCTTCCCATCACCACTTTTCTTAGTGCAATTTATCAACCCTCAGAACTGCTGGGTTTACAGGCTTTTCCTTCCAAATTGTGTTCCATGGTAGGGAGCAGATATTGCTCTCAAGATATTATAATAGCTACTGATTTGATAGTTCTGAATTTAACATAATAGTACAGAAAATGTCTTGCTTAAACTCAACCTTTGGGACAGGAATAGACTTAATCACTTCAGTGATGAACAGTGGCACAGAGAAATTATCAAAAATGTAGCCTTATTTCATGCAGAATAATTGCAGAAATGGTCCTATACCTCTATCTGGGCAAAAACCACTTAGGGAGAAGAAGATTTAATATCTCAGCTAGTTCAAATTGCACTGGGCTAAAACATGATATATGAATTGTCAGTTCAGAAAAAGACTTTTGAAAAAGTGTTTTAATTCATGATTTTTTTTATTATGATGATAGAGTAACATGCAGATTTTTCAGACAGAGGTATTCACTTCAGTGATGAACAGTGGCACAGAGAAATTATCAAAAATGTAGCCTTATTTCATGCAGAATAATTGCAGAAATGGTCCTATACCTCTATCTGGGCAAAAACCACTTAGGGAGAAGAAGATTTAATATCTCAGCTAGTTCAAATTGCACTGGGCTAAAACATGATATATGAATTGTCAGTTCAGAAAAAGACTTTTGAAAAAGTGTTTTAATTCATGATTTTTTTTTATTATGATGATAGAGTAACATGCAGATTTTTCAGACAGAGGTATGTATTAAATAGTTTGCTATTATGTAAAATAATGAAAATCTTACTGGAAGGCAAATGACTTAAACTATCATTTTTAAACACATCTTCTCTGACAATGTTAAAGACTTATATACAGCTAAGGTTTGAAAGGGCAATGGGATTCCTCTCCTAAAAAATCTCTAATTAAATCTACTAGTCTTTTCTTGTCACTTTACTAGCTCATGTTCACTTTAGTGAACACCTTGACCCCTCAGTTAAAAGATTAATACAAAATTTTAAGTAACCTTTATTTCCTGCCTTTGGCCATCAGTAAATCAACACTTTAATATTCAAGGAAACATTCAAGTATAAATTAACTTTCCAATTAAATGGTGTGTGACTAACCAAATGTTAAGATGTTTCTATAGAGATTTTTGTAATGGTAATTTTTAATTTTCCAAACTCATTGTAGGCTCCTGAAAAATTTCAAGAAGCACAAAATAGGAAGCATCTCTGACAACAGATAAATTCTCTTTTTATATAATTTTCTCACCTGAATGAGTTCTATTAATCTATGATGCATCTATGTCTGTCTTTTCTAGGATCAAATTAGAGTTAGCTGAATGGAACAAAATTGTAAAAATATCTTGTCAATTCAGGGACTGAGGGTGCCTTTTTTATTATTAGCATATATTAATTGTACATATTTGTCAGGGAGCAATGTGATTTTTCAGTACATGAATTGAATGCGGAATAGTCAAAACAGGGCAATTATTGTACCCATCTTCTCAACCATTTGTCATTACATGATGTTGGGAAAGGGTGCCATTTTGAAACACCACTGCAAGTTTCTGTGTAAGTGGAGGTGTGAGTAGAGATGCTCCCTTTTGAAATTGATGAACCCACCAGAGTAAAGAGACCAGGTAGTCTGGGGACTGAGGTAGTCTGAGAGACTAGGTAGTCTGAGGGATGAGGTAATCTGAGAAACTAGGTACTCTGAGGGATGAGGTAGTCTGAGAGACTAGATAGTCTAGAGCTGAGGTCATCAGAGAGACTAGGTAGTCTGAGAGGCTAGATAGTCTAGGGACTGAGGTAGTCTGGGGATGAGGTAGTCTGAGACTAGGTAGTCTAAGAGACTAGGTAGTCTGGGAATGAGGTAGTCTGAGACGCTGATATCTATCTATAAACTAGTGATACTTCTGATGTTCAAATTCAACGTAGCTAAATCTTAGCTGACAATAGCTGAGATTTCTTTACTTTGTCAGAGATATAAAGAAGTCCACCACTCATGTGTCTTCAGTTCTGTGAGATTCTACAGTAACATACACACACACACACAGAGCAATGAAAATGTCATAACTCCAAACTAGGAGACGATATTTGCTACATATAACATCAAGAAAAAGGTATAAAGATCCTCTAAAAATCAATAAGTAAAAGGCCAAAACACAATGTGAACAAATAGCTAAGGATAAGTACAAGCAGTCTCCAAAAGAAAAATTATAAATAATTAATATAAAGATTTTAAATTTTTTAACCTCCATGATCAGAGAAATGTAACTTTTTTATAATTTTTAATAATCACAGTTATAGATTTCTAATTAATTGTTCCAATTCTTTAAAGCAGTAAGAATATACATCCCCAGAAACAAGCTTCAAACATTTATAACCTTTGCCACCTCTAATAATTCTAGCAAAATTTGTCCTTGTTGCAAAAATGTTATATATTTTCATTTTTAATAGGGAGGAGTATTTGAGTATATTTATCAAATAATGAGCTTTCTAATATTTCAATTTCTCTTGCACTTAAGTTTTAGATGATAAACAATATTCAGTTGATCAGACCAAGTTTTGAAAGTTCAATATAATAGTTTTTGTTCCTGTTTTTTATTGCAAGATAAATTTTTATGCCAATTTGAGTTTTTGATAAAATTATAAACGTAACTCTTTTCATATTTTGATAGTAAATAGACTCTCAAATCAATTTAATTCAGCCTAGCTTTCTGTGAAGCTGTTATGAAAATAAAATGATGAACTTAAACTAGAAATGGGGTCAACTTTTCTCTAAACATGCATTTGCTGGTGGCATGTTTTTTCCTCTTTTTCCATAACCATTATAAATGTACATGTTAAACACAGGGAAGTAAAATTTCTGAGGTTCACTTACTCGACTCTTTTTAGTCAGAAATAAGGCAACAAAAGGCCATGCATTTCATAGAAATTTCTCCACTGCATGTAACAGTGACGTATTACATAACGTTGAGCATCTTTAAACTACAAGAATGTGAAATCTGGCCTGGTTAGTAGCATGTTTACCACACATACCTTTGAAAGAAGCAGTTTATCAGAGCCAAATATAATATCAAGCTGACATTTTCTTTGGAACAATTTTACATTTTGTGCTTGCAATATTCTGAGGGGCTTCTTCCATTGCTTCCATGTCGCTTGCTGATTGGGGGACAAATTCCGTGCACAAATGGAATTTTAAAAATATGTGAGCAGCAAATGTGAATGTGTGTCAGACAAATAGATTTCCAGCATCTTAGTGCTTGCTTCTAACAGCTTGGAAATATAACTACAGGCCTAGTTTAATTTGGGTTTTAATGAAAATTTACTCAAATTCACATATGCTTCATTTTCCTGCCCATAGGCCCTTAAGGATGATGATGCTGAAACCGGGTTGACTGATGGGGAAGAAAAAGAAGAACCCAAAGAAGAAGAGAAATTGGGGAAACTTCAATATTCACTGGATTATGATTTCCAGAATAACCAGGTCTGAGTGGGGGGGAAATGGCTTCTAATTCCGTTATGTTTTCTGAAATTACCCAGTAGAAACTGAAGCAAGATACTTCTTAAAACATTTCATTTGCTGTGAAGGGAAAATGCAATTATCAAAGCTATTGATGAAATAATTTCTAAGTACAGGCAGTCCTCTACTTGCTAATTTAACTTCTGGTAATTAGAATTCACAGTATTCAACGGATTACATCTACTTACGGTACTTAACAGCAGGCAGGCAGAATACAAATGAACTTGAAGCAGTCAGTTTCTGAGAGCTCCTAGCCATAGTCTCACCCCATAGATCCCTCAGCCTGCTAGAATAAACCCTCCTTAGACTCCATAGGTCTAGATCCAAATAAGCCTAAGAAACTTTGAGCTGGACCAACATTTAATCCAAAGTTTTAAAAAATAATATAACAGTTTAATAAGGAATCAAAAAATGAAAAGTTGACTATGGTCCATGAATTTTAAAGGTAGTAATTTCCTATGGAGTACCATGATACCAGGTGAAATTCCCAAGGCTAATGACATAGCAATTCCAGAAAAGTAGAAAGCCAGCAATTTGATCTCTCATGCCTAAGAATCCTACTCAAAAAGTGACAAGGAACCTTGTTTACTTGGTAAGAAAAACAGGCTTTGCCCTGAAACTTCTGAAAAAGTAGTGAAGTGCCACTTAGATAAGTATTATAAGCTACCTTTAATTGACTACCTGTTATAGAGATAGTGCAAAGATGGTTTTTAAATCTCTCTACAAAGAACTTGCTAGGGTCCACATTGATGAAGATGTCTCTTTATCTCCTGCCTGACTTACTAACTTAAAAAGCATGCCCAAATCCCGAGAAGAAAATAGAGAAGCATTCCTCCAGGGATTGATTTCTCACATTTCTCTGTCTCTGGTAGACACACACACCCTATAGCAAAAATCTCTCTCTTAAAAATAATAATAATAAAAAAAAACCCTGAGTATCTAGAAGATTCTACATGATGAAATTTTTTTAATAATATACATTGATTTTTTCCAAATGTTCTCAGCTAATTTGATTTAAAAATGAATCCTATGAGGCAAGAAAGATAAAGTCTGAGGACATTTAAAGATAAATCTTTAGATTTTTATCTTTATAGCTTCATAGATAAAGCTACAGTCAAACATGCACATTCGTTAACTAAATGTTACCAAAACTAAAAGTTACCCTAAAATTTTCTAACTGAGCTGTCATGATTTCAGAAACGTGATACTGATCTCTTAGGCAGAAATCAGAGGATGGTTAGAAGTAACACCATTCTTTATTAACAAAACATCCAAAAGTTTCTAAATTATAAATAATTTTTTTAAAGAATGTCAGCTGTACATCTAGTGTTTTCCCTGTCCAAAAAGAAATTGACTGTAAAAAGTGAGAATAAGAAAATAAAATCTTGCATATTCACATGGTTACGTAAGGCAAATACCAAATATCAGTTTGGCGAATCAAGAGACAGTTTGCCTTACTAATCAGGTGTTTAAATCCGGAGCCTATTTTAGCTCTCCTTGGGCCATCTGTCTATATTCTGTGTGCCTACAATCCTGCACTCTTATTGCGACCATTGTATGATGATGTCTCAAAAAAGATACTGTCACATTACAATGGAAACAACACAGTCATTCAGGGTATTTCATCCAGATTTTAAATTAAGGCAACTGGCCAAAATGCATGTAAGAACATGGTGGGGCAATTTACCAAAAATGGATGTGATTTTTTTTTTTTTTTTAGAGGCGAATTGCTTTTCCATTCTATGATCAAAATAACACAGACTCAAATTTTTAGGTTCTAATATGAAAACCTATGGTGTAAATGTATTTACTGAATAGTATATAACTTTTTGAGGGGGGATTTTCTTTCTGGGTCTTTTTTTTGGGGGGGAGGAGTTTTTGCTATAGGGAGCGTGCACTTGCCAGAAAGATAGAGAGAGACAGAGATAAAGCGAGAAATCACCCACGAGGGGGGATGGCCATGCTGCAGTCCCTTTTCCTCTGTTCTCCTCTCGGGATCTTGTGCACGCACGCACACACGCCGGGCGTGAATTTAAGCCACCAGGTCTGGGATTCAAACCTTGGTTGACTACATCGAATCCAGCAACATACCCATTATGCTAACTGCTGGTCCCTGAATAGTATATATCTTGAATAACAGTAAGAATATACTTTTTATTTCCTATATAGATTTAAGACAATCTGTTGCCACAACATCTCTGATGACAGAGTATCTAGAATAGCCAACACATATTTATTTTTGCAGAAATATTAGCACTGTCATAATATTCTACTTTTCTTAAGAAGGCTTCTTCCATGGATCAATAAAGAAATAGAAGTGAAGAAATGAAGTTTCTACTGCACTCAAAATCATCAGAAACATAATTAACATTAAAAAACATATATCTACTCTCCCCTTCCTTTCTATGAAGTGAAATTATGTTTCTTTGACTCTGTGTCTTATATGTAAATACAGAATATAATAAAAAATAATGATTTTACTTTAAGTTAAAACCAAAGGTAACCAGTATATAAGTGAAGGCCAGATATGATTAAATAAAAATCTTGATGATCATTTTGTCTCAAAATGCCTCCTAATTATAAAAAATTTCTACAGTTGAACTGAGGCTTTGGTAATGAATAAAAATTTCCTACTTTATAGTTACAGACTTACAGACTTCTGATTGTTTGAAAATGTTATTTCTACTTACAAATCATGCACCGGAAAGAAAAACAATGCATAAGGGCTTTTAGCAACTGGAAAGTTATTTGATTGCAACCATTTTGCAAATAAGAATTCCTATTTAACTGTAATCAGCAACTTTTTTAAAAGCCTCTTTTGTACTTAAAACCAGGCTTCCTGGAGCCTGCATCTGTCATAACTGCAGTCTGTATAGCTCACTTCATTTGCCTTCTGTGCTCAAATTCATAAGAGAATAAAAGTTTATTGAAAGCAAAGAAGAAAAGGGAGAATTCACAATGTACAACCTTGTGAACAAATCAATCCGTTACAAAATGTTCACTAATGTTTGCATTTGCTTCATTCTGTTCTTCATTTCAGCTGCTGGTAGGGATCATACAGGCTGCTGAACTGCCCGCCTTAGACATGGGGGGTACCTCTGATCCTTATGTGAAAGTGTTCCTGCTGCCTGATAAAAAGAAGAAGTTTGAGACAAAAGTCCACCGAAAAACCCTTAATCCTGTCTTCAATGAACAATTTACTTTCAAGGTATCATTTTTTTTCTATTTACTTATAACTTTTTGTTTGTTGTATTTCATAAAAGACTGATCTCATCCCTCCACATCCGTATACACACACAGGAACACCTGTTCAGAGACTCACAAGGATGTTCTTCAGAATATTTAAAATCCTTATCTTCAGTCTAGGGAGGATTCTTTATTGCACTGAAATGTGGTCAAAGTAGTATTCAGTGTAGTCATTTCAGAATGGAATATAGACTGGAATGTGACTAAGAGGTCACCATCACATCTAAAAAGTGAGATCTGCTTCAAGTAGGCCAGTAGGCATGAACATTTCCATATCTCTAAAATATAGGCAAAGGAATTAGATCTATCTTTCTGAATTTCCTTCCAGAAAGTAGGTTAATCCTGTTGCAATAATAGAATAAAGTATGTTCCAATGTTTAAGTGGTACAAATTTAAGTTGTTCTGCCCCCCTTGCAAAATTCCATGTGTAGAGAAGCAACTGGAGTATTCTGAATCTATTCTTTTTAATTTATTGATAGGAAGAAGATGAACAAATTGTTTTTCTGCATTTCTAGCATTTTTTATCTGCTCTAGACTTGTCCCTGGTATTCTTCATCTTGTTGCGACATTTCAGTATTTTCCTATGGTTTTCTATGCAAAAATGCATCATGACTTTCCTGACAACCCTATAATAACCCATCAGGAAAACATGTTCTGCCAGCTTGTAGGATCTGTGTAGTTCTTGACTCAAATTCATTCATAAAAACAATTTTTTGGTGAATATTTTTAATATGTTAGATTTTTAATGCATTCCTTAAAACAACACGTTTCTGAAAAATGAGATGTCTGCACATGCCAGCAAGCTAATTCAAAATCACTCCATCCATCAGCCTAGCTTAGCAAGAGCCTGTTCCTCATGTTGGCAAACATTCTGGTATGAAACAAATTGATGAAACAGAAGGTATGAGTCATTTTCTCAAACCTTGTTTTCAGTTTTATAAAGGAGCAGTGTCTTCCCACATACTCTAACATTTCTGAGTTTTCAATGTACAGCAGTAAAAACACTCTGGAAGACCTCAGCTTATGAAGAACTAATTACTGTGGCCAATATACCACAAAACATCAAGTGAAAATACAATTTTTAAAACATCGCAAATAGGGGGAGCCAGCAGGTGGTATGGTAGTTAAGGCACTGGACTCCCACATAGTATACCACAGTTCGAGTCCTAGACCCAGTGGCTTGAAAGCCACACTGGGAGTGTGTACGCAGGTGCCCAAAATCCCAGGAGAAGGATGAAGGAGAAGGGACTGTGCAGCATGGTCATCCCCCCTGGGGGGGGGGGGATTTCTCACTTTCTCTTTCTCTCTGTCTGTTTCTGTCTCTCTCCCATATGCATGATCATCCTATGGCAAAAATCTTTAAAAAAAAATTGCAAATTGTAATCACACTTTATTTAACTACATGTTAATCTTACTTTATATTAGCAGTTTCTAACCAGAATGTAGTAGGTAGTTTCTTAAATTATTTAAAATAACATTATGGGACACTGTTTTGATTTGAGTTACCTAAATATTATTTTTAAATGTATTTCTAATAAATTTATTAGTAATTTCAATGACCTCAAGAAGTATAATTATTAAGATTTTGACATTGCTTGTATACTTTGATCAAGTTCCATTTATTTTATAAAGATCAATCAAAGTATAAACAAATCTAAAGTATAATATATATTGATAAGTATGCCAATACTTTTATATAACTGGTTCATTTCTTCAAAAGACATTACAGATTACACATCATGAAATTTATAGAGGCCACATGCTGTATAGGAATGGAAGCATAAGAGAGTTTAAAGAGGATTGGCTTTAGAATTAAGTTAGGGACCAGCAGGTGGCATGGTGGTTAAGGCTCTGTACTCCCACATGGCCTACCAAGATTTGAGACCCATACCTGGTGGCTTGAGAATCATGTCAGGTGTGTGTGTGCATGTCCAAAATCCCAAGAGAAGAAGGGATTGTGACTTGACCATCCCCTTTTTGGGGTGATTTCTCATTTTCCCTCTCTCTGTCTCTTTTTCTCTCTGGAAACACATGTAACCCTATAGCAAAAAATGTGAAAAAAAAAGAAGAATTGAGTTAAATCCATTCAACATGCACCAAACTAAATTCATCTTTTTTCTCAAAACAAACTCCTACCTGAAGGAGCTTCTACTCATTCCAACAATAAATGTTTCTTAACTGTCTAGGTGGTTTGTGTGTACTCATTCAGCTTCAAGACACCCCCATGAGGTCATTGGCACTATTGGTATCACAATTTGAAGGAGATGAGGCTGAAGCGTATTTGCTTGTCGAGACCCTTCAACTCTGAAGTTGAGAAGCCTACGCTCAGTTCTTTCTGATCCCCAATCCAGATCATGAACTGTTGCTCTTCCATATAGTCATCAAAACGTCTAGAAAGTTCAGAAATGTAAAATTTTCAAGATTTACCCCTACTGTAAATTCTTCTTTCCTGAAATTCAGTTCTTTGAAAGGGGTTATTTTAGAATTCTTCTAAAACATAAAAAAATCTTAATATTTTTTATAAATTGCTTCATTTTTAACCATAATATTTCTATTAAAATATTTATTTTAACAAATAGCATTTTAATAAAATAATCAAATTCCAAATAGGAGATAAAAAATAACAAAATCTCCTCAGAAAACTAAAATTTCTTGTATGTATATCATTCAAAATCCTTCCTTCTCCTTCCATTTTTAATATTCAGAGTTAATTGAGAAATGTTTGTTGGAGCATAAGACAACCATTTACACTGATAAAATAATAGGAAGTGTATGAAAATTGATCAAACCCTTTAATACAAGTCTAAACAATTTCTTAATTAGGCATTTCTCCTCAGTTACTGAAGTGTAGCTTCCTTGGACTGCACTGCTTTTCCTGAATATTAAAAATGTCACTAATAAACATCCCAACCCATAGCATCTGTCCCAGATATATTTGAACAGCTGGAGAATTCATCAGTTCTTGGCCTTTTGCCACTACTCATCCTAAAGTGTCATATCCAAGCATGAACTTCAAGATCCATATTATAATGCTTCTCTGATATTCAAAACATCAATTTTCTAGTCAGTTCTTGTCAATCAGTAAATTATTTTAGGCAGTAGGTGAGGCATACTGTGAATTTCATTTAATCCTTTCAAACTCCTTGCATATCTTTTTATAAATCACTGTTTCATTGAACTGTGACACTCAAAGGGCTTGAAAGAGTTAATTGAACTTTTAACACAAGTTACCCGCCCCTAGTATAAACTGCCTTCTGACAATATAACTTACAACAATAATGCCCACAAAATATTCTACAAGAAAAACTTATTTTTTGAGTGAAATGCAATTGGCTTGTTTATTCTTTTCTTAATCTTGACATTTTTATGGTATGACTAGTAGTAGGATCCATTATTAATAATACTAAGAGCTTCTAGAACTTTAGGAGAAAGAGATAAATCACTGTGGTAATTTCCCATTTTTCTTCCCATAATTTTAGCCTCAAGCAGTGAGTCAAAAGACCCAATTTAAGCTAAATAAATAAATACATACATAAATAAATAAAATTATCTTCCTGTTCTGTTTATCCAACATAAATATCAAATCAAAATTATAAACAAGTAGCATTTTTTAAGCATTTCATGACTAGCTATTTTATCGTCATCTCTTTTTATTTAGGTGCCGTATTCGGAACTGGGTGGCAAAACTCTGGTGATGGCTGTATATGATTTTGATCGTTTCTCCAAGCATGACATCATTGGAGAATTTAAAGTCCCCATGAACACGGTAGATTTTGGTCATGTAACTGAGGAATGGCGTGACCTCCAAAGTGCTGAGAAGGAAGAGGTAAGAAAACATTAACATTTCTAATATGACAAGCTGTACTTGCCAGTTGCTGGTCATGTAATAACCTATTGAGAGACGTTATTTACAAAGGGTGACCTGGGCCTCTAGCTGTTGACAGCTGGTAAAATAGGGTCGGGGATTGCATAACCTTGTTAAAAACTATACCAGTCCTCTGGGTATTATTTGAAAGAAAAGAGAGAAGTTTGTGCACTGGGTTTATAAACAATGCCCCTGGACACGCACACATGAACTGTTCTAAAAGTTTATAAAATGCCACATGCACACAACCTACTTCTTTAAAAGGACAGTGAAAAATGTCTTACTTTTTGTGTGTGGTTTTTTAAAATTATTATTATTATTTTTTAAGTTGTTCAACAGAGAAAGACAGAGAGCAAGAAGGCAAGCTGCCAGGTCCAGGACTTGAACCATGGTCAGCCATGTGGGAGTCCAGTGTCATAACTACCACACCACCTGTCAGCCCCACTCTTATGTTACCTACACAAGCTTTGTGTTTTCTACATAGGTTATGTAGCTACTACACAGACATAAAATGACCTATCTTCCTTGATGATTTCTGTGTGTTGCAGACCGTTCATTGTTTCTCCTTAAGATATCAGAGCAGGGTTAGGGAAACATCAAATATAATTCACAAAGGCTAATATTAAATCCATTTTTAAAATGACTCACATTTTTACAGTAGTCTTCACATTGTTTTTTCCCCCAGTTTTAATTGGATAGCCTGGTATTTTTCTGATTTAAGAAGAGAAGTTCAATATCCTTAGTGCATTTAAGCTGCATAATAATCAATTCTATTTGATTATACTATGCCTCCTTGGCACTAGCATTTTTCTGTGTGACTGTCTCAGCAGGCCAATACCAGAAAAGAATCTTGATATGTGGCTGTAATTACCCAAGGGATTGCAAACAGCCTCCATTTAGGATCCCTAGGAGTCCTTAGGATATGGTTACTGAGGGACTACCAGGGAGGTCAGAGAGTAGCCCAAGCCTTCAGAGAAACTCAGCCAAGCTGATTACCTGGAATCCTCTCAGCCTAAGTTTTCCCATGACCAGTCTACAGTTACTATGCAAAATGAAGTACAGTTTTAGAACAAGCTTACTGAGTGCTATGCTGAAGTTGAATTTTAATCGTGCTCTAAAATGATTATCTGGTGATACAAAAGGGTTCAAAATTATTAGACAAGCTCCACTTTCATTTTGGAAAGAGGTATCTTCCTATAAGGGGGAGGTCTTCAAAACATTACTAACAACTGTGTAGCATGAAAAAATTACGTGTGGATTTCAAAAATGTTTTGCACCAAAATAAACTCACATTTTAATTCCATGTTTTGACAGACTTTTTGAAGTTCTTAGATCTATCTTACCCAAATAAAGTAGTTAGAATTGACATTCTTACATATTGAGATAGATTGAATATTGAAGAGTAAGCCAAGAAAAATGCTGAGTATTTAAATTTATGATTTTATAAGCAGCTGTTCTCTGTTGAACTTATATTAAGTTCAATATCTGCATGAAAAGAAAGACATTCAATCATTTGGACATAATATTTCTAATATATAATGCAGTAGTGAAAATAATTGAATTTTTATGTTTGCTTGAAATGTTTGACTCTAAATTCTGTGTGTCTGGTGGACAAAGTAGGACCATAACACATATTTATTAACCGATTGGTTTTTATTAATTGGATGGATTTTGGTTGGCTTAGTGGTTGACTCTAGTGTAAACCACTTGAACCTCACAATACCCACCTGTCTGGGAGGCCTGGCCTACACTAATCTTCTCTTGGGTAACTGCCAGGTGGTATGGGATTCCAAAATCACACCCTTGGGTTTCTGGAGAGTTGAAAAATATTCTTGCCTAAGTTTAGAGAACGTAGATCATGAAGTAATTTTCTTCTTTCCAAAATTCTTGGAGTTTAAGCAGAGTTTGAGAATTAATAGTAGGCCAATACGTTTGACTGTAGAATCTACGAAATTTGGTAGGCTGGCAAGCCTTTCATTTCCTCCTCCTTGTGTTTCTTCAATTTCTTACCTTTTCTTCCTTGTCTTCTTATTTAAGTTGTTTTTCACCCAAATTATCAAAAAATATGCATTTTGAAAATAGTTATTACTATATTCTGGGACTGCGCAAGTATTAAAAAATAAGTGAAAAGAATAGACACTTCTCTTACGTTCATAGAATATAGCACTGCTTCATTTTCTTCCTGAACTCCAGTCTTTGCCCTGCTCATTACCAACTACATTGGTTTCTAGAAAAAGTCCATTTTTAAGATCAAAAACTTCAGGAATTTAATCCTGAGTAACCCATTACCACAATAGCTCTGACACCTTTCACAAGTAACTTAAGCTCTTTAAAATTTTTTTCTTTTTAACTAGAAAGTGGCTAGTTTAACCATTTTCTCGCTTACAAGTTAAACAGAATAGGATGTACAGTACCTACCATAAAGTCTATGTGGTAAATATTTCAGTAAATGAGAGATCCTCTATTCTTTCTTAGTCAAATGTTTGTGTTTTCATATTGTTCAACTTTTTTCTCTATCTATATAAATTTCCCTATTCTTTTTCTCACCACTGTTGTGCTTATTGAATATCTCTGGAAGTTTTTAATGAGAGATAGTATTTCTACTGTTATATTAAAAATACATTGTGACTTTCTCAATGACCTAATACTTTTTTAAACTGTAGAGTATTTCCTCCTTGACATTTATTCAGGAAGAAGAACTTGGTTTTCAGTTGGTTATCTCTTTATCACTATAGGAAATTTCATAAAACAGATGTCAAGCTTACAAAGTATTTCTGGGTGAATAGATTCAGGTAGAAACTTTCTCATAGAACGGAAACAAAGTTCCTGTTACATTTTATATCTGAATAATTGGTCTCAATGATATGTGCTCTCTCTCTTCATGCCACTGTCCATTAACTGCAGTAAATTACAATGTACAGAATTGAAGTTTTAGATTGATTTTAGGTCTCATGATTTCAAAGAAATTATTCCTCCATTATACATAAGCAATTTTGGTTTGTTGACTTTATTTTTGCTTTTATCTAAAAGTATTGTTATTTTTAATATCAGTGAGGTGAAAGGTAGCAAAGACAGTGCAAAAAGGGATTCCAAGGAACTGGAATTTAGTAATGGAACCACTGATCATTGTAGGTTGTTCAGTTGGATTTAAACAATTTAAATCAGACCCACTGAGATCCAAATCCTGTGATTTTGATAGAATAGGGTAAAATTTTGTTGCCAGGAAGTCGACAGCTCTAAAAGCCAGAAAATGAAGCAGTTGTTTATTTTAAAGGATTATACGTTATCTGAGTGATCAATTGATGTACAAACAATTTAGGAAAAAAGGAGAAATAGCGTGGATACTGTAAGAGCCTCATCTGAGGGGCTGGCAGGTAGAATGATGGTTAGGGTGCTGGACTCCCACATGGCCAATAGCAGTTTGAGTCCTAGACCTGGAGAGTTGCTTTCTCACTTCCCTTTCTCTCTTCTCTCTCTGTCTTTCTCTCTGTTCAAATCTAAAAATAAATAATAATAATAATAACAAAATTAATTTAAAAAAATCATCTGGAAGTTGCCAAGCACAAGATTTTAAAAGGTAGGAATGCAGACCAGATAAATTATGCCAGGAGAATCTAGCCCCTGTGGGAACATGGATGGCAACAATTTAATTTGGCTAAAGCATGTTCCTCAGATTAACAAAGTTTTCTTGCTTTTTCTTTTTAATATTGCAGGGTTGATTACTCTCTTTCCACCTTCCCAGCTTTTAACAAATGAAAGTATAATTGGTCAGAGAAAGTTCAACTGATCTCTCTTGAGTTTTTTGGGGGGTTTTTTGTTTGTTTTTTTAAACAAAGTATCTCTGGATGAATAGGCCCAGGTAGAAATTTTCTCACACAAAGGAAACACACTTCCTTTCACCGCTAAGTTTTGAGAGTTTGTTACAAATATTATAAAATCATGTGTAATCAGTATATACAGTTCTTTCCTTGCAGAAGGCTTCCAATGTGTATAACCTCAGGCTGTCTATACTGATTTTTTTTAAGATTTTCTTCTGTTTAATCATTCAAAAAATAATTATATGCCACCCATAAGTCAAACCTGAAACATACCCTTATACATTTAGAACATTCCATTCATTTAATAGTTCATCTATTTATTTAATAATTATTTCAAATGTTCTAATTAACAGCTTTGATTTTTTTTTTCCTTTTTATAAATTTTATTTATGGATATTTTAGAAAATGTCTCAGTCCTGCATCCCAGCATCAGGTATATCTACACGAGACTTAGACCCTTTTATAGTCTAGCATTTTGCTATTTTTTATTTGCTTATTTTTTATCCCCATGCCTTCCACTACTATATATGTCTTATCTCTAAAAATAGGTGTCTCTAGAAAACAACTGGGCTTGGGGACCAGCAGTTAGCATAATGGCTATGTCACTGAACTCCCACATAGTCGACTGTAGTTCGCGTCCTGGACCCGGTGGCTTAAAACTCTCGCAGGTCGCATGTGCATGCGTGCCCAAGGTTCCAAGAGGAGGATGGAGAAGGGATTGCAGCGTGGCCATCCCCCCTGGGGGGGTGATTTCTC